ATAACACTACATTGTCACACAGCAATGCCTGGAGCATGGCACTACATTGCACAACACTGGTGCGTACCGAGCATAACACTACATTGTCACACAGCAATACCTGGGTGCACAATACCGTAGAGCATAACACTACATTGTCACACAGCAATACCTGGGTGCACAACACCGTAGAGCATAACGCTTCATTGTCACACAGCAATACCTGGGTGCACAACACCGTAGAGCATAACACTACATTGTTACACAGCAATACCTGGGTGCACAACACCGTAGAGCATAACGCTACATTGTCACACGGCAATACCTGGGTGCACAACACCGTAGAGCATAACACTACATTGTCACACGGCAATACCCTGTTGCACAACACCGTAGAACATAACACTACATTGTCACACAGCAATACCCTGTTGCACAACACCGTAGAACATAACACTACATTGTCACACAGCAATACCCTATTGCACAACACCGTAGAGCATAACACTTCATTGTCACACAACAATACCCTGTTGCACAACACCGGAGAGCATAACACTACATTGTCACACAGCAATACCTGGGTTGCAACACCAGAGAGCATAACACTACATTGTCACACAGCAATACCTGGGTGCACAACACCGGAGAGCATAACACTACATTGTCACACAGCAATACCTGGGTGCACAACACCGTAGAGCATAACACTACATTGTCACACAGCAATACCTGGGTGCACAACACCGGAGAGCATAACACTACATTGTCACACAGCAATGCCTGGGTACACAGCACCGGAGAGCATAACACTACATTGTCACACAGCAATACCTGGGTGCACAACACCGTAGCTTTTATAACAGTACATTGTCACACAGCAAGTACCCTGGGTGCACAACACCGGAGAGCATAACACTACATTGTCACACAGCAATGCCTGGGTGCACAACACCGTAAAAGCATAACACTACATTGTCACACGGCAATACCTGGGTGCAAAACACCATAGAGCACAACACTACATTGTCACACAGCAATACCTGGGTTCACAACACCGTAGAGCATAACACTACATTGTCACACAACAATACCTGTGTGCACAACACCGTAGAACATAACACTACATTGTCACACAACAATACCTGTGTGCATAGCACCGTAGAGCATAACACTACATTGTCACACAACAATACCCTGTTGCATAACACCGTAGAGCATAATACTACATTGTCACACAGCAATACCTGGGTGTACAACACCGTAGAGCATAACACTACATTGTCACACAGCAATACCTGGGTGCACAACACCGGAGAGCATAACACTACATTGTCACACAGGAATACCTGCGTGCACAACACCGGAGAGCATAACACTACATTGTCACACAGCAATACCTGGGTGCACAACACCGGAGAGCATATCACTACATTGTCACACAGCAATACCTGGGTACACAACACCGTAGAGCATAACACTACATTGTCACACAGCAATACCTGGGTGCACAACACCGTAGAGCATAACGCTTCATTGTCACACAGCAATACCTGGGTGCACAACACCGTAGAGCATAACACTACATTGTCACACAGCAATACCTGGGTGCACAACACCGTAGAGCATAACGCTACATTGTCACACGGCAATACCTGGGTGCACAACACCGTAGAGCATAACACTACATTGTCACACGGCAATACCCTGTTGCACAACACCGTAGAACATAACACTACATTGTCACACGGCAATACCCTGTTGCACAACACCGTAGAACATAACACTACATTGTCACACAGCAATACCCTATTGCACAACACCGTAGAGCATAACACTTCATTGTCACACAACAATACCCTGTTGCACAACACCGGAGAGCATAACACTACATTGTCACACAGCAATACCTGGGTGCACAACACCAGAGAGCATAACACTACATTGTCACACAGCAATACCTGGGTGCACAACACCGGAGAGCATAACACTACATTGTCAAACAGCAATACCTGGGTGCACAACACCGTAGAGCATAACACTACATTGTCACACAGCAATACCTGGGTGCACAACACCGGAGAGCATAACACTACATTGTCACACAGCAATGCCTGGGTACACAGCACCGGAGAGCATAACACTACATTGTCAAACAGCAATACCTGGGTGCACAACACCGTAGCACATAACAGTACATTGTCACACAGCAGTACCTGGGTGCACAACACCGGAGAGCATAACACTACATTGTCACACAGCAATGCCTGGGTGCACAACACCGTAAAGCATAACACTACATTGTCACACAGCAATACCTGGGTGCAAAACACCATAGAGCACAACACTACATTGTCACACAGCAATACCTGGGTTCACAACACCGTAGAGCATAACACTACATTGTCACACAACAATACCTGTGTGCACAACACCGTAGAACATAACACTACATTGTCACACAACAATACCTGTGTGCATAGCACCGTAGAGCATAACACTACATTGTCACACAACAATACCCTGTTGCATAACACCGTAGAGCATAACACTACATTGTCACACAGCAATACCTGAGTGCACAACACCGTAGAGCATAATACTACATTGTCACACAGCAATACCTGGGTGTACAACACCGTAGAGTATAACACTACATTGTCACACAGCAATACCTGGGTGCACAACACCGGAGAGCATAACACTACATTGTCACACAGGAATACCTGGGTGCACAACACCGGAGAGCATAACACTACATTGTCACACAGCAATACCTGGGTGCACAACACCGGAGAGCATATCACTACATTGTCACACAGCAATACCTGGGTGCACAACACCGTAGAGCATAACACTACATTGTCACACAGCAATACCTGGGTGCACAACACCGTAGAGCATAACACTACATTGTCACACAGCAATACCTGGGTGCACAACACCGGAGAGCATAACACTACATTGTCACACAGCAATGCCTGGGTACACAGCACCGGAGAGCATAACACTACATTGTCACACAGCAATACCTGGGTGCACAACACCGTAGAACATAACACTACATTGTCACACAGCAATACCTGGGTGCACAACACCGGAGAGCATAACACTACATTGTCACACAGCAATACCTGGGTGCACAACACCGTAAAGCATAACACTACATTGTCACACAGCAATACCTGGGTGCACAACACCATAGAGCATAACACTACATTGTCACACAGCAATACCTGGGTTCACAACACCGTAGAGCATAACACTACATTGTCACACAGCAATACCTGGGTGCACAACACCGTAGAGCATAACACTACATTGTCACACAGCAATACCTGAGTGCACAACACCGTAGAACATAACACTACATTGTCACACAGCAATACCTGGGTGCACAACACCGTAGAGCATAACACTACATTGTCACACAGCAATACCTGGGTGCACAACACCGTAGAGCATAACACTACATTGTCACACAACAATACCTGGGTGCACAACACCGTAGAACATAACACTACATTGTCACACAGCAATACCTGTGTGCACAACACCGTAGAGCATAACACTACATTGTTACACAACAATACCTGTGCACAACACCGTAGAACATAACACTACATTGTCACACAACAATACCTGTGTGCACAGCACCGTAGAGCATAACACTACATTGTCACACAACAATACCTGGGTGCACAACACCGTAGAACATAACACTACATTGTCACAGAGCAATACCTGGGTGCACAACACCATAAAGCATAACATTACATTGTCACACAGCAATACCTGGGTGCACAACACCGTAGAGCATAACACTACATTGTCACACAACAATACCTGTGTGCACAACACCGTAGAACATAACACTACATTGTCACACAGCAATACCTGTGTGCACAGCACCGTAGAGCATAACACTACATTGTCACACAACAATACCTGGGTGCACAACACCGTAGAGCATAACACTACATTGTCACAGAGCAATACCTGGGTGCACAACACCATAAAGCATAACACTACATTGTCACACAGCAATACCTGGGTGCACAACACCGTAGAACATAACACTACATTGTCACACAGCAATACCTGGGTCCACAACACCGTAGAACATAACACTACATTGTCACACAGCAATACCTGGGTGCACAACACCGTAGAGTATAACACTACATTGTAACACAGCAATACCTGGGTACACAACACCGTAGAACATAACACTACATTGTCACACAGCAATACCTGGGTGCACAACACCGTAGAGCATAACACTACATTGTCACACAGCAATACCTGGGTGCACAACACCGTAGAGCATAACACTACATTGTCACACAGCAATACCTGGGTGCACAACACCGTAGAACATAACACTACATTGTCACACAGCAATACCTGGGTGCACAACACCGTAGAGCATAACACCACATTGTCACACAGCAATACCTGGGTGCACAACACCGTAGAGCATAACACTACATTGTCACACAGCAATACCTGAGTGCACAACACCCGGCAGTACAACACCTACAGTACAGCACCTTGTTACACAACACTTTGTTAAACAACAAACCCTTTTTAAAACAACAGCCACTTATGGGTGTTATACGGAGTTGTGTCCTTTGTGGAAGCCAGGATCCTATTTTCGTGAATCCCGTATTGCTCTTGATGTGTCCACACCATACACGCACACACTGATTCCTCCTAAGCATCTACTAAAAAAACCTGACTTGCCCTGAATGAGTGAGGTACTGATAAGGGGCCCGTTTCACAAAGCGATCATACCGCTACATGTGTCGTATCTCCGATACTTTAACATAGAGTTACGGCAGTCGTAGGACGACCATCGCTTTGTGAAACAGGGCCCTGAGCGCATTTAATACCACTGGGCTTCCACGACGAATGGTTTGTTTTTATGTTTTGCCACCTGTCCGAAACAATGGGCAGTATTACGTGCATGCATGGAGCACATGCATGCGCATTATGTCTAACGAAGGGAGATAACTCACCTGCAATTGTGACCATCCAGACCAACACATAGGAGAAGACTGCGATCCAGAGGACAGACATGCTAAAGGTGACGAGATACAACTTTCTCCATTTCGTCCGTCGTCGGCAGTCCGGCACCGTCACGTACAACAACATTTTCACGGGAACCATGGCAACCCAGAATATTCTCAGGAAGAACGATTCCGGGACAATCCAAGGAGAATGGTGATGGGGTACTATGGAACAGAAGAATGACGTCATAATTGTATAAGTATTGGTTGTTTGTTGTTTAACGCCTGACCCAGTAACATGTGCACATATCACTTTTGCCCAGCAACCATTGTTTTTGTATTTCGTCGTATGTGACGTCATTAAACAATTGAACGTGACGACAATGAAGAGGGCTGTCACACTTGCTTACCTTGTTTTACAAATGTACATGAATAAAATTGACAATAAAGAAACTAAACTATTACACTTGAGCAAGTGTGTCATACGACTTATACGAAACTGGTGCAAAATTATGTATTGCTCTCGCTATCTTTGCTCATTATATCAGCCACTCGTTGACCAAGAATCAATATTTTCATTTATTACTGAGTGCGGTGTAAAACAACATTAGATCTCTTGCCTCTTACGACAAGCATGGGTTGCTGAAGACCAATTTTAATCCGTATCTTCTTGGGGATTTTCTATCAAGTATATAAAAGATAATAAGTTGTTTTGTTAATAATCGGCGTGTTTAAGACCAATGGAATTTTAGAGGACTTTGAGACATTTACAGGACTTGTCAGAAGATGAGGGGCTGATTTCACCGGATTCGCTGATAACCTCCGACTGTGTGGAATGACTTTCAACTTCGGAAAAACTTGTTTCCACTTCAACAACCTCGCTTGAAATACTTTTCCGTTTTCCCTGAAGCAAGGGCGTCTTAACCTCGTTATCCTCCAGATCAGCTGACCCCTTCACGCATGACCGGAAGCTGTTAACCGCCATTTGTGCCAAATGTTCAAGCTTCCGGTTAAAAGCCAGAATAACGAAGTAGATGATGCACATCATTAACATAGACATGGCCTCGAACCTGCAACAGAAAGTGAAAGAAAGAAAGTGGAACGCAACATTGAACTGTAAGTAAGTGAGTTGAATTTTACGCCGTTTTTAAGCAATATTCTAGCAATATCACGGCGGGGGACACCAGAAATGGGCTTCACACATTGTACCCATCTGGGGACTCGAACTCGTGTCTTCGGCGTGACGAGCGAACGCTTTAACAACTCGGCTACCCCACCGCCCCACATTGAACAGTATTTAATGTACGAGGGGAGATCAAAAGTTTGTAGAATCACCAAGAAAACGATACAAATGCAGTTATTTTTATGTTATATTTTTCGACATATTATCTGTCAAGCTCAAGCAATTTGGTTTTGCTATGTTTCAGCGAATACGATTATATTATATTATATTACCAGATGTATTTCAAATGCCAGCCAAACCGTTTGTCATAACGTGTTCCCGAGTAACCCTTCTGAGCTATGGCGTATATCTAATGTCCATTATTGTCATTGTAATATTACCATTCCACGACGCCATCTTTGATGACGAGGACCAAAGCCAGCACAGAGAACAGGTAGAATACAGTGTCTCTGAAGACCGGCCACCACGTTAGCTGCACCACCTGAAAACACGTTCATCGTTAATTAGAGACCATCTGTGAGGTCATGTATTGTTTCCGGAGGTTTGTCATATCCATACAACGTCCTCCCCTCAGTTATATTGTCTGGTAAACCCGACGTCACCTCTCATGGTGTTTCTACAACTTATCTGCATAGTATGACAGTATATATATTGGTGTTTTACACAGGTAAACCTATCGGAGTGAGTATGGCTTTACGCCGCTTTTAGCAATATTCACATCATTAACATAGACATGACCTCGAACCTGCAACAGAAAGTGACAAAAAAGAAAGTGGAACGCAACATTGAACTGTAAGTAAGTGAGTTGAAGTTTACGCGGTTTTTAGCAATATTCTAGCAATATCACCGCGGGGGACACCAGAAATGGGCATCACACCTTGTACCCATGTGGGGAATCGAACCCGGGTCTTCGGTGTGACGGGCGAACGTTTTAACCATCAGGCTACCCCACCGCCCTTATCTGAAGTGGCCTTAATGGTCATTATGGCACTGGGGCGGTGGGGTAGCCTAGTGGTTAAAGCGTTGGCTCGTCACGCCGAAGACCCAGGTTCGAATCCCTACATGGGTACAATCGATATACCGTGATGTTGCTGGAATATTGCTAAAAGCGGCGTAAAACCAAACTCTGTCAGTCAGTCATTATGGCACGTGTATGCAAGTCGGTCAACAGTATTATTCTCGATATACTCTCATCATATCACGGAATATGAAAACACCGGAGCCAGAAGTGACTATCTGTATAACCTAGAAACCGTACTGCGTCGATTGTTGATAAAAAGAGATGTCATACAAAAAAAATAGAAAACCTGCCACGATAGCTCTTGTGACACGCGACAGACGCGTGTACTGCGCAGTTGTAGCCGTATAAGAGGACATATTTACATTGGCGTAGGCAGAATGTATACGTTGAACTAAAAAATTAATAACTAAAATCAATAATTCTAAAAGTGATACAATGTATGCGACAAAAAAATAATGACATTATACCACGCCAGCGAATATTCCACAGATGCCGATTATAAACAGGAGGTTGAAGACGGCTGAACCAACGATGGTGCCGATGCCAACGTCACTCTTGGCGATGAACACACCTGTTGAGACGAGAATATGTGGATTGAATTAACAAATTATAAATATTTAATCTATTCTAGTTTGGGTACGGTTTACGACCTGTTACAAGCTAAAATCATAATAAATGCGTTGAACATTTTTGGAAAAATAGATGACCGAATGTTGTTTGAACGCTGCTGTGTGTAATACATCAATTCTGTATCATTACAGCTTGTGAATATTCGAGTCTGGGTACACGGTGAATAAAGACGTCAGCAACGACCATGCCATTGCGGCGAGACAACTCGCCTTCAGCACGGGTAGAGCCTGACACATGGGTGAAAGTGACAAAACCACTTCCATGAAATAGCGATGATACCACGTGTTCGTGAAACGGTGAGCATATCACGACCCGCCAGGCAATCGTCACAAACACATGCAAAGGCAAGTCAGTTATTCACCTGAGTGAGTGAGTGAGTGAATTGGGTTCTACGCCGCTTTTAGCAATATTCCAGCAACATGACGGCGGGGGACACCAGAAATGGGCTTCACCAATGTGCTTATGTGGGGAATCGAACCCGGGTCTCCAGCGTGACGCGCGAACACCTTAACCACTGGTCTACTCCATCAACCCCTTCACCTGAAGTAACACGGGAACACACGACTCAAGTCAAAATAAGATACTGCATCGGACATTACATGTGTCACGGATGTGTCCAATTTTGAACTGTCCACCGCATCTACCATAAACGTTTGAACGTTTTGCTGAGGCCATGGCTTCGGCGGCAGTGGTACCGTAACAATGTTAGAGTTGCAATACACTGAACCTGTTAACATTCAGTAAGGAGCAATGGCTTGTGCTATATTCAGACTTGTGCTATATTTAGACAGAGTTCTGGAATTTATTACATAATATTATCCCTATAGGGCTTTCTAGCGAGAACATCATAGAGGGTCGTGCAGCGTTTCCATAGGTATATAAGGGGAGCTAACTCTTGTCTGTGATCCCTCATATCGGATTACATCTCAAGTTAAAAGACAAGCATTTGAGTGGGGATCATTCTTTCCTATTTTGTCAAACCTGACCGTCGCTATAATCGTTAGTTTTGTGTGTTACTGCCTTAACATATATTTGTTGTTGGTTAAACACAGAGTCCTTTTGAGAACCGATTCCCCTGTTAACTTAAGCTTCAATTTGGGAAACAACTCGTGATAACTCTAACATATACACTATATACATGGGTTTTATCTGCTACATGCATCCTGAAAGATGGTTTCTTTCCCCAACCTCTCCTCTCATTAATGTCTCTCTGGCACATATTTCTTACCTATGATAGACGTGAAGAATTCCGCAGCAGAACTTCCTGCCGCCATGAAGGTTGCCCCGGCAACGTCAGACTCAATCTGTAAATCTGAAACAGATTGTATGATCTGATTATGTAATCCAACCATATACTATGTAAACATTGTACATTCTACGACATTACTGTTTGACTTTCACGTGTTCGATTTCGAAGTAAATCGACGTATTAAGTCTGCCTATAGTACTTAATTTGCATGTATTGAGTCACGCAAATATCGTCACTGCCACATCGAGATTATGGATCCGAAAGAGAGGGAAGAGAATTTTCAGATAATAATATTTACTGGACATAAATCTTGGGAATTACTACACATGGCTTGTGTAACCATCGTCATATTTTTGGAATTTTCGGTACATAGATTGTTCCAGTTAACAGTGTGAGGGCTTCATTGCATCGCGTCGAGGTCTATTCCGGTGATTTGGATGCATGGCGAGGGTCATCTTTGGTAACACCAGCGATCATATGGTGCTTCCAAACCAGGGATAATATCCTGGAATCTAGGATTCGAACTTACAGTCAGTGGATCCTGTCATGGTTAAAGGAGGCAACTCTGCACCTGCTGAAGACTTGTGTTCCAGCAGTAATGCCAGACTGATATATTAAACACAGTACTGGTATTTCTATTTGGAGACTCACATCCTAGACTTTAGAAGGACAATGTTACATGCTCCGGTTGCAGTCTAATTCAAGACCAAGTATATTAACTTGAGGTCAATGCATCACTGTTCGTCGTTTCACTAAAGTGGTCAACGTCTGTGATCTGCTGTACTTTCCTCCCGCGGCAAGGTAAGGCCATATATAAAAATATTCTTGTTTCTCATTTCCGCCCGACCCAAAAATTCGACCCAACACTCAGATTTTTTTACTTTTTTTACACTAGAGACAAAAAATGCAACTTTGACTCTCAAACTGCCTGATTTTTCACACTTCTAAGTTTTGATTTTGTATCGGAGAAAAGGGTACATTTCCACAGAAATCAAGGGGTTTTGGACATAAAATAAAATAGAATGTAAAAGTAAAATCCGCCCGAAGGGGTTGTTTTTGTACAAAAGTGACGAGAAACAATAACATTTTTATGTGGCCTAACATACAACTGGAATTGTGTTGAAAACGGGGTTGAACGGGGTTGAACTCTTTCACTTACTGTTTTTTCCAAATTAATTTAGGTTATCATTTGATTGATATGATAACACTGTTGTGTCGAAGTTGGAAGGACTTCCAGAAATACTTCGAGTTATCCGAGGTTTCGACACAAGGAAAGATGACAACAGAAAGAATACCCGTGAAGATCCGGGTTAGGATTGCTCTTCAGTAACCCATGCTTGTCGTAAGAAGCGACTAACGGGATCGGGTGGTCAGGCTCGCTAAGTTTACAGTGTCATCGTATCCCAATTGCGTAAATCGATGCTCATGATGTTAATTATTTGGTCCAGACCCGATTATTTACACACCGCCACCATATAGCTGGAGTATTGCTGAATGCGACGTTAAACAACTAAACTAAAAACCAAATATGCTGGGACCAAGCCTTCGCTTCGACAGAGCCGTAAGTTCGACACAAGGGTACTTGACTGTACGTCATCAAATATGAAAACCCATATATTCACAAGTTTTTATCTATTTGAATATTTTGATATGATCAAAACTACCGATAGTATGAATTTCCTAGTCTCCATTTAGCTGAAAACCATGAGGTACGATAGCTCACCTTCACATATTCTCTCCAGAGAGACAACAAAGTAGTCGTCACAGATGAGAGCCATGGCGCCGATGAGGTAGCAGGCAATGAGGATGTGGACAAACACGCCGCCGCCTTGGGTGTCTTCTAGCGTCATGAAGTTGCCGAAGAAGTTGTCCACGGACCTAGGTGTACAGTTGAGGGCTTCCTCTGGAATAGAGGATGATTACGTGGGGGAAAATGGGGTTAAACGTCAACGTTTGAAGTGCCCGTTACTATATTGATAGAGTGAGTTTAGTTTTACGCCGCCTTTAGCAATATTCCAGCAATGTCACGACAGGGAACACCAGAAATGGGGACTCGAACCTTGGTCTTCGGCGTGTCAAGCGAACACTTTAACCACTAGGCTACCCACCGCTGCTTAAATGATAGAAGATCTCAACACTGTAGATCTAAGCTAAACATTTTAAAATAGAAGCGTTCCTCTGTTCATATTTCACATACAATAAAGAGGGCGGTAGGTTAATGCGCCGAAGCGTTCGCTCATTATGCTGAAGGGCCAGGTTCGATTCCTCATTTGGGTACCTTTCTGATTTAATTGTTCTTGCGTCCCCGCCCTGATATTGCAGAAAGCGGCGTAGACAGTACTCACTCAACATCATAAGACCACATCATGAAGTTTTAAGTTACAATCTAAATAGACCTACAAAAGAAACTAAGCACCTTTTTTTGTGAAATAATAGCCAAAGCACCTGGGCCCCGTTTCACAAAGCTATCGTAGCGCTACGACTGTCGTACGTCTATGTTACAGTATAGGAGGTACGACAGTCGGATCGCTACGATAGCTTTGTGAAACGGGGCCCAGGTGCTTTAACTATTATTTTACCAAAACAACCTCAACACTACCTAATATTATTTAGTGTGATTTGAATGCGGAATTTAGCAAACATTGTGTGCGTGTTACCAAAATTACTAAGCATTGATAAGTGACAAAGCTTAGAGTTACTGAAATGCTTATTCTTTTGACTGACTGACTGAGTTTGGTTTTACGCCGCTTTTAGCAATATTCCAGCAGCATCACGGCGGGGAACACCAGAAATGGGTGCCCACTCGAACCTTGGTCTTCGGCGTGTCAAGCGAACACTTTAACCACTAGGCTACCCACCGCTGCTTAAATGATAGAAGATCTCAACACTGTAGATCTAAGCTAAACATTTTAAAATAGAAGCGTTCCTCTGTTCATATTTCACATACAATAAAGAGGGCGGTAGGTTAATGCGCCGAAGCGTTCGCTCATTATGCTGAAGGGCCAGGTTCGATTCCTCATTTGGGGTACCTTTCTGAAGTAATTGTTCTTGCGTCCCCGCCCTGATATTGCAGAAAGCGGCGTAGACAGTACTCACTCAACATCATAAGACCACATCATGAAGTTTTAAGTTACAATCTAAATAGACCTACAAAAGAAACTAAGCACCTTTTTTGTGAAATAATAGCCAAAGCATTTGGGCCCCGTTTCACAAAGCTATCGTAGCGCTACGACTGTCGTACGTCTATGTTACAGTATAGGAGGTACGACAGTCGGATCGCTACGATAGCTTTGTGAAACGGGGCCCAGGTGCTTTGGCTATTATTTTACCAAAAAACAACCTCAACACTACCTAATATTATTTAGTGTGATTTGAATGCGGAATTTAGCAAACATTGTGTGCGTGTTACCAAAATTACTAAGCATTGATAAGTGACAAAGCTTAGAGTTACTGAAATGCTTATTCTTTTGACTGACTGACTGAGTTTGGTTTTACGCCGCTTTTAGCAATATTCCATCAGCATCACGGCGGGGCACACCAGAAATGGGCTTCACACATTGTGCCCATGTGGGGATTCGAACGCGGGTCTTCGGCGTGACGAGCCAACGCTTTAACCATTAGGCTACCCCACCGCCCCTTATTCTTTTGAAACATGACCCCCATGACACAGTTCTTCGTGTGGTATAAGGCTAGTGAGGATCGGTTGGTTTCTATTGTGGATGTTTGGTTGTATTTCTTTGCTCATTATATCATCCACTCGTTTGCCCAGAATTGATATTTTCTTACATTGTTTTGTGCGGTGTAAAACAACATTCGATCTCCCTACATCGTTGACTATCTGTATTACCAGTTTTCAGAATGAAATTTCAAACCCGCGTTAAGCCATAATCATGCGCTCAAATAACCCTATACCATCGTGAAGATTCGGGTCAGGTTCGATCTCATGTTTGTCATAAGAGGTCAATACCCTGATCACGTGGTCAGGCTCACTGAACTGGTTGAGGTATGTCATGGCATCCCGACTGCGTACGAGTATCGATGCTCATAATATCAGTCACTGGATTGACTTGCTCAGACTCGATTATTTACAGGTAGCAGGGAATATAAACTGACGAGCAAAAGAAAGTACACAGGTGTAATTGTTGTTGCAATCCAAAATATGCGTTCTAACTTATAAAATTATTGAAAAACATTGTTTGTATAGAACGCAACCATCATGTTTCATTTGCCAAAATGCAACCAAAAACATTTGTACGTGTTTTGCACGAGTTTTTGCAAAATTGTGATTATTGTCCCATGCACCAGCACTTTTCTGACAGAGAGTATAAATCCTGTTTGCCGTGAAGACTGAACAATCACTTGACAGAAATCTCACGAGGATATGCCAAGATTGACGTCGGCGCAACAAGAACGGGCCAAAGGAATGACACAAATGGGTGCTTTCAACAGCGATATTGCAAGGACATTGGGTTGCACAAGACAAACCATAATTCGGCTGTTTAACCGTTTCAGTACGACAGGCCAGACATGTGATCGACCCAGAAATGGACGTTCCAGAGTCACAACACCCCAAGAGGATCGCTATCTGCGGGTTATTCACCTACGCAACTGGATGTTGACGGTGACGTCATCAGCAGCCACATCATTGGGTCATCGCGTAAGCCGATTCACAGTGACAAGACGACTTCGTCCTGCTGGCATGTATGGGCCTACCGACCGCTGCGTGGAATGGCCTTGACCTACCAGCATCGTAGGAACCGTCTGCAGCGGTCATCACTACATCGCAGTTTATTGTTAAAATGTCATTTTGCTGTTAAAACACGTGTATTACAGTGTGCTTCAACATACATTTTCCATTTCATCAAAAGGTTTTGTTATTTTTATCTTATTGGAAGAAACACAACCTGTGTACTTTCTTTTTGCACATCAGTTTAGTCTCTTCAGGAGAAGTGTGTTTGCAAATGTAGGTTTCTGAAATACGAACATTCGCGCAAACGCGATTGCTACTTATTTTCCACGGCGTGAAACACATGGAATCGAAATTGCATTTGGTGTTTTCGATAGATGTTTGTTGTTTGTTGAAGTTCGTAGGGCTACGAACGTTTCGAGTATGGCTAGCCTGATTATTATAACCAACGGCTTTCGTTGATTATTTCATGTATTCACATTAAGGCTATGTCAATGTCAATAGTGTGTGAGCAGTATAAATTTGTGCAAAACAAAAACAGAATTAAAAGCGAATATTGCTCAGTCATCGTGGTTCCGAGTTTATTTTATAGAACACTGCTTAAAATAGTTGATTGCAACTTTAATAAACAAACACAAGAACAATAGAATCAATATTATAAACACTTCATGGTATGTCCACCTTTTGTGATAAATAGTGTGTGAATTGAAACTGAGAACTACCTTGGTACACATATGTCATTAGTATCGAGAACTGGACTGTGGTATTCAAGACATGTTCAGAGGGATTAGTGTTTATCTGCCCTCTGGGCCTGAACGGGAAATATCGGTTTACATAGTTAATTGAAGGCATTTGATTTCAAGTATCGCTGAAAATGACTCAATTTCTATAAATACCATGTATCTGTGCACTAGTACAGGGGCGGTGGGGTAGTCTAATGGTTAAAGTGTTCGCTCGTCACGCTGAAGCCCATTTCTGGTGTCCCCCGCCGTGATATTTCTGGAACATTGCTAAGAGCGGCGTAAAACCATACTCACTCACTCACACGTTTACATGGTGAGACAAACACGTTGTTAATGACAGAAGCGTCACGTTATCACATATGGGAGTATGGTTTTACGCCGCTTTTAGCAATGTTCCAGCAATATCACGAAAATTCACACATTGTACCCATGTGGGGAATCGAACCCGGGCCTTCGGCGTGACGAGCGAACGCTCTAACCCCTAGGCTACCCCACCGACCTTCATCACATATGGATTAATTACAATGTGTCTGGTACCATCCTGTGTTTATTGACAACTCAAGGTTCGAAGCCGTGGCTACGTAATGTAAAGACAGCTTCGCGTAGTTGGCAACTTCCCCCCAAACAATAAGAAAAAAGTTTCATACGAAAAATGTGTGTTGTTGCTAGGTTCTTCTCCATTTCCATCGATGCCGACGTCATTTGAAGCACACATATTGTAACGTGATATCTACGCAGTATTTGATTGGTTGTAAGCGACCAACATGTTTTACTTCTATTCACATGATATCGAGTTTGAAAAAATGTAAAATGTTGGCCAAGATATTTGTTGGAACAGAGACCGATTGTAATCTCGTCTCCCGTTTGCCAAACTTAAACTATAGGTTTATAGTCCGCCGGCTTTAGTTTTATCACTCATTCTTTAGCGATTTAATTTGCCACGGTATGTTTGTATATGATGTTTGTATCCGACGCGCGGGTAACCCACTCAGATAGCGGTCTTAAATTTGTACAAATAAATGAACATATCTATGACAAATTAGAGTAACAGTAGCTTCTGGCCAATAGTAACCTCTCTCTCCCCACCCCCAGGCCCCGATAATGTGATTTCGCCGTAGGCTTTAATAACCTAGAATATATACAATTTAATAATCTAGATTATATAAAATTTAATAATCTAGATTACATGAAAATACTAACCTTCACCAAGTTCCAAGTCTCTGGAATCCCTCCTAATGCCCGGATGTAGGAATGATGACTCATCCCCAGGTTCCAAGTTCAGGTAACGCCAGATTAACGCTAATCCCGATAATGCCAAATAAACGGAGGCAACGGAACAGACAGTTGTCGCCCGCTTCAATAATACACCATTAAAAGAATATTTCCCCATCGTAACTTAACGATAGATTTTTTAATACCCAGACACGGGAGCACTGTGTTCTGTGAGACGAGTGTCTCCTTCTCTGCACGACATAAGTGACACAGTGGGGTCACCGTGATTCAGATTGATGTAAACAATGACAATATCGAAGACTGTACATGTATAATTCGGTCGGCGGTCGCTGAAGGTCAGATTATCTCCGTATTATCAAATCCCCCATTGTTTGTGTCCTCTGGGTCAGTGGATGTTTGGGCAGATTACAACAGATTCAAACGTGCGTGGACGCTGTACATCCAGTTGTATCTTATCAAGTAAAGGGCGACTTGAATTCGAGTGTTTATAAAATTTAGACGATAACAGCCCGTATAAAAGTGAGTGAGTGATTTCGTTTTACTCCGCACTCAGCAATATTCCAGCTATATGGTGACGGTCTGTTAATAATCGAGTCTGGACCAGACAATCCAGTGATCAACAGCATGAGCATCGGGCCTGGCCACCCAATCCAGTTAGTCGCATCTTACAACGAGCATGGGTTACTGAAGATCAATATTCTAACCCGGATCTTCACGAGTGCCCGTAGAAGACCCGGGAAGGAGAGTTGGGATGGGGGAAGGGAGATGGTTGAATTTTCCGTATGTGATGTCATATTCAAGAGCACAGGTGGCCACGCGGTATATGGTACACTAGAGTTGCGCCCCCTTTACGGTGTAAGGATCATCTGTATTAGGTGTCGAATCCAAGATCATGTAATGATCTTTGTTCTGTCAAAGGGCTTCAATGCCCATAAATGAGCCGCTTTTCGACATTAAATTTGAGTTCGAATTTAGATGACACGAGTCTGGAAAACTGGAAAACCTTTCAAAGCGACAGGAAACCAAACACACTGAACCTCTTATAGCCACAAATGAGTGAGTGAGTGAGTATGGTTTTACGCCGCCTTTAGCAATATTCCAGCAATATAACGACAGGGAACACCAGAAATGAGCTTCATACATTGTACTCGTGTGGGGAATCGAACCCGGGTCTTCGGCGTGACGAAAGAACGCTTTAACCACTAGGCTACCCCACCGCCCCGCCACAAACGAAATACTGTATACTTAAACCAGATGTCCTTCCTATACAATGTACCACAATCAAACAGGCTCTTCTTTGCAGTATTATACACACACGCACGCACGCACACACGCACACACACACACACACACACACGGAAAGGGGCAAAAGGCTAAAGATTTATTAAATGGAAAAAAAAACCTTTTATTCATTATCTTGCAACTCATGCTAAATATGCATTTTCCAGAAATTTATTATTTATAGCTTAATGTATTGGTTAAGCATTTATTTATTCGTTGACAGGAAATCACAAACGTACATAGATTATCATGGGTCCTCTGTGTTCGTGGTGCCCTGGGGCAGCTGCCCAGCGTGCCCATGACTTAGGCGGCCCTGCCATCAAAGACACAAGATAGCGCCACGGGACACCAAGGAACCAAGATGGAAACAAAAAACACCATGTAACCAGGACAAAACCAAGATGGTACCAAGGAACACAAAGCAACCACGATGGAACCAAGATGGAATCAGGATTGAAGCAAGATGGAATCAGGATTGAAGCAAGATGGAGCCAGGATTGAATCAAGATGGAATCAAGATTGAAGCAAGATGGAATCAAGATTGAAGCAAGATGGAATCAGGATTGAATCAAGATGGAATCAAGATTGAAGCAAGACGGAATCAGGATTGAATCAAGATGGAACCAGGATTGAATCAAGATGGAACCAGGATTGAAGCAAGATGGAATCAGGATTGAAGCAAGATTGAATCAGGATTGAAGCAAGATGGAGCCAGGATTGAAGCAAGATGGAACCAGGATTGAAGCAAGATGGAATCAGGATTGAAGCAAGATGGAGCCAGGATTGAAGCAAGATGGAACCAGGATTGAAGCAAGATGGAGCCAGGATTGAAGCAAGATGGAATCAGGATTGAAGCAAGATGTAATCAGGATTGAAGCAAGATGGAACCAGGATTGAAGCATGATGGAGCCAGGATTGAAGCAAGATGGAACCAGGATTGAAGCAAGATGGAATCAGGATTGAAGCAAGATGGAATCAGGATTGAAGCAAGATGGAGCCAGGATTGAAGCAAGATGGAATCAGGATTGAATCAAGATGGAACCAGGATTGAAGCAAGATGGAATCAGGATTGAAGCAAGATGGAACCAGGATTGAAGCAAGATTTAATCAGGATTGAAACAAGATGGAATCAAGATTGAAGCAAGATGGAGCCAGGATTGAAGCAAGATGGAACCAGGATTGAAGCAAGATGGAGCCAGGATTGAAGCAAGATGGAACCAGGATTGAAGCAAGATGGAATCAGGATTGAAGCAAGATGGAACCAGGATTGAAGCATGATGGAGCCAGGATTGAAGCAAGATGGAACCAGGATTGAAGCAAGATGGAATCAGGGATTGAAGCAAGATGGAGGTTGAAGCAAGATGGAATCAGGATTGAAGCAAGATGGAATCAAGATTGAAGCAAGATGGAGCCAGGATTGAAGCAAAATGGAACCAGGATTGAAGCAAGATGGAGCCAGGATTGAAGCAAGATGGAATCAGGATTGAAGCAAGATGGAACCAGGATTAAGGCAAGATGGAGCCAGGATTGAAGCAAGATGGAATCAGGATTGAAGCAAGATGGAACCAGGATTGAAGCAAGATGGAATCAGGATTGAAGCAAGATGGAACCAGGATTGAAGCAAGATGGAATCAGGATTGAAGCAAGATGGAACCAGGATTGAAGCAAGATGGAGCCAGGATTGAAGCAAGATGGAATCAGGATTGAAGCAAGATGGAACCAGGATTGAAGCAAGATGGAACCAGGATTGAAGCAAGATGGAATCAGGATTGAAGCAAGATGGAACCAGGATTGAAGCAAGATGGAACCAGGATTGAAGCAAGATGGAAACAGGATTGAACCAAGATGGAATCAAGATGGAACCAAGATGGAATCAGGATTGAAGCAAGCAACATTAAGGAACAAAGGTGGCATCAGTGGTGCAACTGACTTCACGATTTGGGATGTACATGTACATATCAATATCTTAAAGTATTAGTGCCATGTTTTCTTTAATTCTTATTGGCTTTTGCTACGGAGTTTAACGTCATTTGAAGTTATTGCACTGATGTCGTGGAGACAACAAGGCAGGGAAACAACAAGTACCATCTTTTAATGTCTTGTGGTACGACACGGCTGGGGATCGAACCGCTCTTTCCACTCAACCATGAAGGCGGAATTTATTGTAAAGTAATCTAAACACAAACAGTGTCACCCGCTTCACAAACTGTATCTTTCGGGAATATTATGACGTCCCTGTTGACCCCTTCTGTAATATCTGTGTCGAGGACGGCGTTACCATGGTTACTTTATGCGACATATACAAATATGTATGTATTTAGTGTTCATGGCGTGAGTAACTCGGTTTGCTGCCATTATTTGTATAACAAATATTTACACGCTCTTTGTTTCATATTTATACAGAAATAGGTACAAAAGAAACGAAATGATATATTCTAGATTATTAAAACCTACAACAAAATCATATTATCGATAGGTAACATTGGCAAGAGAGGTAACTCTAATCTAACTCGAAGGGTTCCGCAGTTTGTTTGTACCTTATAATCGTAAACGACAAAACAATAATTTATTGCAATTACTTGTATAAATCAGACTGTTAATTCTAACGAGTGTTTAAGTGTATTTTAGGCAAATGGACAGCATTGTTTTTTAAATTGTTCGCTCGTAAACGCCTCATTCCCAGGTTTGACTTCCTCAAACCCTCAGTCCCTGTGTTTCAAAAGGACACGGAATATATGGTGTATAACATACTCAATATTCATGTAAACGTGAATTAGGAAACGAAAAAACACTGCATAAGTAATGTGAAAATGGTGTACAATATATCAAATAATTCAGGTAAACGTCAACTAAAACATGAAAGAAACCGAGTATAAGTAACGTAAAAATGTACACGAAATTCTATAATTCAAATAAACGGGAAAAGTAAGTCTATTACATGAAACGGGAAATTATTTACATCAAGGATATCAGACCACGATCAACATATTATATATTGCTGAATTTTATAGCCTTGTGTCATTGATAAACTCAGGTTTGATCATGGATGTTATCGCAGTGCGTACAAATATAAACACGTTCTCCACAAAGATAATACTGACGACAATTATTCTGATATCTGCCGGATTCCAGCAAATATTTACACCGACACCAGTTACCTCCCTTTGAACTAGCACGCCCGTTGGAATTAGTGTTGTGGACAAATTAATGTAAAATGAATCTCATTTACATTATTTATCGTTGAATAAGGCTTGCGATACAAACTATCGATGGTAAATGATAAATAATGTCGCCCACCTGGATCATTTATCCCGTGTGTTATTCGGGCTGCTTGTCATGTGACGAAGGGTTGTGTATTTCTTCTACATCGATACAGCATTAATGGGTTGAGATAGGGATCGGGCAATGGAAGGAGGGGTTAGGCTTGAAGAACGGTCTAGACTCACTAGACGGGCTAGACAGAGAAGGAGACTTGTGAAACTTGCCCTTCTTGCGTGTGTGTATGTTCTAAGCGTTGCTGTAACCACAACAGTCCGCGTGATAGGAGGAGAGAAAGAAGATGCGATTACACAGGAGGATGAATTTAGAGAATACAGAGTGAGGAGGGCCGCCGACCTCGGAGAAGGTAAGTCTCAGACTCCGTTTAGTTTTCTCTCTCCAATATCATCTCTACCCCCTCCCTTCGCTGTAACCCCCCTAAATCCTGCCACCCCAAACCCACCCCACCTGCTCCCCATCCTTCTCATGAGTGAACAATAGCTTCAATCGTTGATTTATCTCTGGTATTCTGTCTGTCACACTCTCTATAACTACTATATACGTATATGTATATTCTAAATAAAACTCAACGCTAAACACTGGAAGTAAGTATTCGGTGTTGGGGTTGGTTTTCAATTTTAAATATACCAGACTGAATACTCGACTTGCCTACATATTTATACAGAAAGAAAGAGGGAGAGAAGAGAACGGAAGGAGAAGGGATAAACACAGAGAAATGAAGAGAAATAAAAAAAGAGAGATAGAGGGAGAGTGGGAAGGCGATGGAGAGAGAGAGAGAGTGAGAAAGTGTTAGAGATAGAGAGGGAGAGGGAGGGAGTGTGAGAGAGAGGGAGAGAGAGGGAGGGAGCGGAAGGAGAAGAAGGGGTACAGAGATAGAGAGAGAGTGAGAGAGGCGATGGAGAGAGAGAGAGAGTAAGGAAGAGTGTGAGAGAGAGAGAGTGAGAGGAGTGAGAGAGAGGGAGAGAGAGAGAAGAGAGTGTGAGAGAGAGAGAGAGAGGAGGGAGCGGAAGATAGGGTACAGAGGGAGAGGGATAAGGCGATGGAGAGAGAGAGAGAGGACGGAGAGAGAGAGAGAGAGAGAGGAGGAGAGAGAGAGAGAGTGTGTGTGAGAGAGAGAGAGAGGGAGGAGCGGAAGAGGAAGAAATATAGGGACACAAATAGAGAAGGAGAGAGGAGAAGGTGATGGAGAGAGAGAGAGAGAGAGAGAGAGAGAAAGAGAGAGAGAGAGAGAGAGAGAGAGAGAGAGAGAGAGAGAGAGAGAGAGAGAGAGAGAGAGAGAGGGGGAGAGAGAGAGAGAGAGAGAGAGAAGGAAAGTGACTGACAGAGAGAGTATACTCAGTGTGTGTGTCCAGTTTGATATATGTCCAACATTATCTATTGCTTATCCATACTTCTATCCGCACGTACACAGTGCACACCATTGATGTTTTATATCGAATCATATATCTGTCCTTTAATCAAGCACCCTCGGGCTACCATGTTTACCAATCTGAAAACATCCATCTAAATCTCAAATCAAAGCTAGTTGTAGTCTCGAGAAGCAGCGTCATGTACACCGTGCAGAGATTCAACATCGCCGCTGTAGGAGATCTAATATCTAATAATAATACGTCTTATTTATTGCCTGTTGAGAATTCAACATACGTCAGTATAATTAACCAGTTGTCCACAAGGAATCCTTACGATGTAATTTAAAACAAGTGATTAAAGAATGCGATATGTAAAGGCATCTAGCGTGAGGGATTATTAAACTTCGTTGACTCACGCTCGTGGTAGTCTGGGTTATCTTTAGAATGTAACATACCACTGATTCAGGTGATTTGACGCGATGTAATAGTGTCGGAAATGACAACTCAATAAGACTGAGAGTAATATCTTTGAAACTGCCATGGTTGGCAGTCGACTGCAAGTTGTTCATAAATTGTTTCCAATTTGAAATTTGTTGACAGAATGCCTAGGCTAAATGTTGCCGTATTCACATAACAGACAGAGTTGCTTGACACGTGACAAACGTACAGTGGAACGTTCATCGCAGACTTAGCTATCTGAGCAGAGCTATCGGCTTTCCGTTACAGAGGCACTTGGTTCACATGACAGACCGAAATGTTTCACATTAAAGAGCCACTTGGTTAACATGGCAGACCAAAACGTTTCACATTAGAGAGGTACTTGGTTCACATGGCAGACCCAAATGTTTCACATTACAGAGCCACTTGGTTCACATGACAGACCAACACGTTTCACATTACAGAGGTACTTGGTTCACATGGCAGACCCAAATGTTTCACAATACAGAGGCACTTGGTTCGCATGACAGACCCAAATGTTTCACATTACAGAGGCACTTGGTTCACATGACAGACCCAAATGTTTCACATTACAGAGGTACTTGGTTCACATGGCAGACCCAAATGTTTCACATTACAGAGGTACTTGGTTCACATGACAGACCCAAATGTTTCACATTACAGAGGCACTTGGTTCACATGACAGACCCAAATGTTTCACATTACAGAGGCACTTGGTTCACATGACAGACCCAAATGTTTCACATTACAGAGGCACTTGGTTCACATGACAGACCCAATGTTTCACTTTACTCGACAACACTCTCGACTAAGAACCACTATCAATAATTTCAAAAGTATAAATGTTTGGAATGCTTCAAACATTGAACGCGCTCTCCTTCTGGTCAGCGTTTAAAGCAGCCCCGCTATATGTACGCACATCAAGCGTATCCCTTAGCAACCAATACCCTAAAACTCAACAGGCGCCTCCATCCAAATGTTGATGTGTTGAACTGTGTCCAGAGTGATAGTTATCCATTTCGGAGACACCGAAAACAGTAAAATATAAACCCCGATCAGACCACATCAGTACGCTGTTACCACGACTGAATAATCAAGGGTACCAAAAGAAAAAAACGAAATGTCGATAATTTAAACAGAATTCAAAAGTAATTATGTACATTCCTGATGACTTTTTTGACATATTAACCATCTGGTCATGAAAAAAAGACGATATTCGTGTATTAATCATATACACCTACATATTCCTGGCATTTGTTATTCCACCATAGTGTGTAGACATTTGATAATCTCATTCACATAGTGCACAGCTTGATGAGTGAGTGAGTTTAGTTTCACGTCGCACTCAGCAATATTCCAGGGCCCAGATTTTCGAAGCTCTCTTAGCGCTAAGATAGTCGTAAGTGCCATACATTAACATTAACTCACAACTATCTTAGCGCTAAGAGAGCTTCGGAAATCTACGCCCAGCTATATGGCGGCGGTCTGTAAATAATCAAGTCTGGAACAGACAATCCAGTGATCAACAGCATGAGCATCGATCTAAGCAACTTTGATATGATGTCAACCACGTCAGTGAGCCTGCCCACCCGATCCCGTTGATGTAGATAGGCTGGTACCCACGCTCCGTCATGTTTGTTTGTTGTTCATCGCCGCGCTCAACAATATTCCAGCTGTATGACGACTTCTTATAAATAATCGTGTCTTAACCAGACAATCCAGTGATTGAGAGGAAATATTATCGCCTTTGGGGTTAAGAGGACATTTTATGTACAAAGTCAACGAGCCTGAACACTCGGTCCACTTTTGCCCGTTATGACCAGCAACAGTGGTTTAGGGCCTGTTATAGTGAGTGAGTGAGTGAGTGAGTGAGTTTAGTTTTACGCCGCACTCCGCAATATTCAAGCTATATGGCGGCGGTCTGTAAATAATCGAGTCTGGACCAGACATTCTAGGAATCAACATCATGAACATCGATCTACGCAATTGGGATACGATGACATGTGTCAACCCAGTCAGCGAGCCTGACCACCCGATCCTCTTACGACAAGATAAATTCTAACCCGGACCTTCACGGGAAGGGACCTGTTCTAACCCGGCCGAAATCGCAGTACAAATGATGCCATGGTTATTAGGGCTGGATATTGCCCTGATTCTCATATTGCGATATATTGCAATAATTTAAGAGATATTGCAATATGTATATTGTGATATATTGAATGGAGGGGTTCTGTCCAAGTGCGTATATCATAGATTCACAATAGTTCTGTGTGTGCGACATTATCTTCTTAGTTGCTATTACACCATACTTTCAGGCTCCCAGTCTTATTGTGCATGGCTGTATGCCAATGGTTTACAGATAAATAAAATGATATAGAACCTTAATGTGGAATGTTTAATTGAGGTATTGCAACAAAGGTTTGAGGTGAGGTGAGGTTAAATTGGGTTTTACGTCGTACTTGAGAATATTTCGCTCATATGATGACGTGCATGCGTGTGTATGTGTATTTACGGCTGCTTGTACTAGCCCAGACTTAAGCTGGTTTTATAATGCTAGCCCACTGAGATACCATGCCGCAGTGAAGCATGAATACCCCACTCAGACACATTATACTGACTTCGAGCCGACCAGTCCTTGTTGTACCCATTAATGCCGAGCGCCAGGCAGGGACCAACAAGTACTATATTTTAACGTCTTTTGGTATGACGCGATCGGGGATCGGACCCTCGACCTTCCGCTCTCCGGGCGGACGCTCTAACCACTACACCACGGAGGCGGTCAACAAAGGTTTGAGAACATAATGATAAAGTATAGTAAAAGTATAACACGGTCAGTGATTTTAGCAAGGCGGATCAGCAGTTTTGTACACACAGGTTGTTTTGTTTGTTTGTTTGTTTGTTTTTACATAACACTATGTTTACAATTATGCTAAGAAATTATGGGAAGGGGACGGAGGTCATTGATTTTGTACATGACATGCAGGGGGTGGAGGGGAGGGTGTTCACTTATTTTGTACATAAACTTTAAATTTTAGGGAGGGTCATTCACATTGTAAATGCTTCTCCATAAATATCATCATCACCCCCCAAGCCATGAATTATGAGAGGTCCCTTAATTCCTCCAAAATGTCACATATGAAACCGTTTAAACCCACAAAACGTAACGCATTTGGTAGAATATTTGGCACTTTTGGAGCCACTTATTAAGATACTCCCACTTGTAAAATATTACATGATACCAACAGAAATAAAAGTTTATTTGGCACTTTTAGAGCACATTCTTTGCTTGGAAATTAAGCGCAGATGATACAAAGGGAGCTAACTCTGGATGACCCAATATATTGCAGAATCTGAACCATATCGCGATAATCGTATCGCAAGATACTGTACCGGTATATACTGGTTTACCGGTAATATTGCACAACCCTAACATTGGTTATATAAAAGTGTATACTAGTAATCAAACAAATAAAAGGACGAACAAACGAACGAACGAACGACGAATAAATGCATGAACTATAAATGAATGAAAGAATTGGAAACTATTCAATTTGCGATGTTGGCTTTTCACATCTGTGTATCTTCGGTCACGTGACATACTTGGAATATTTCAACATTTACAGCATAAAAACATTGTTTTAAATGAGAAAAACGAAGGTAGTTTTAAAATAATCCGTCGTATTATCTTGTTGAAAGCATATCTATCACCAAAATGAGTCATTATGATCCAATTGTTATTGTTGTGATAAAACTGTTAGGATACACGGGCACCCATGAATGTTTCCAGCGTATTAATATTTGAATGCTTCGAAAATGGAATGCGCCCTCTTCTTGATTCCAGGGCGGTAGGGTAGCCTAGTGGTTAAAGCGTTCGCACGTCACTCCGGAGACCCGGGTTCGATTCCCCAAATGGGTAGAATGTGTGAAGAACATTTCTGGTGTTCCCCGCCGTGATATTGCTGGAAAATTGCTAAAAACGGCCAAACCCATCTTCACTCACGATTCACGTTGCTTGCGACTAGGAAACAGTCTCAGTGAGAAAGTGGGGCTCTCAAGTCTTCCGTACAGTTTAAATATTTATTTTGTTTTCTTTTACAGAAGAAAAACTGCACTCCGAGATCGGTGGACAATTTCTTTGGAAATTTCTTTACGTTGGAGCAAACACAAGATGGCGGCTTCGTCCTCCATCTGTTTATCGCCATTTATCTCTTCGCGTCTCTCGCCATCATCTGTGACGACTACTTCGTCGCCTCGCTGGAGCTCATCTGTGAAGGTAGGTGACGTCATCGATAAAGGGCGACAATGCGACAGTTTTCAAGGTCAAACTATGTCACGTTGTCGCATTGACGCCCCATGTAAGATGTGTAAAGAAAACGTTAAAATGCGGACAATTCGACAATTATGTCGCATTGTCGCCCTTTGGATGAATAAAAAATATTATTCAAATCGCGACAATGCGACAAATGGCCAAAATGTCGCGTTGTCCATTGTTGCACTTTGTTTATTTTGGCACGTTTTGCTTGTTTTAGTGAGTGCTGGCAACGCGACAATGTCCATTCTAGGATTCCATAATAATAATCATGAAGACGAACATTGTTATGTTGAAACTATATCATTATGGTTCCAGTGTACAGTAAACTATGGTTATACCTAACGGGCCACCAATTAACGTAGTTCGTCATACACATTTCCACTATAGGTACAGTGAGTGCTCAGTAACCCCAAACAGTTCGTAATATCTGTCAGATCGTAATAAACGTGTTCATTCCAACAACGCCGACTCGAACCTAAAACGTACCGCCTCGTCATATAAAATGTTTATCTAAAATGTTTTAATCATTCAAAAGTCAAACGCGAGAAATTGTAATAAGAATTACAGTAAATGCGAATCAAGAACATTATTCGGATAATTTTGTCTTTATTAAGTTTTTTTACTTAGTTTGTATTTTTCAGACCCGACCGACCCATATGTTCAGAATTTGGTGGCTGCATGAAACACATAAAAAAAATTATGCCCTATTAAATAGCATGGTCCATGAGTACACAATTGTACTTTCGATAAAATACACTTACATATGTTTTTACTTTTAGATTATAAAAGTGTCGTGATTTGTTGATAATCCAAGATGGCAGACATGTGTGATTGACCTGTATCTAAGTGGATGCTTCTGTCCCCAGATCTGGGTCTGCAAGAGGATGTAGCCGGGGCCACCTTTATGGCAGCAGGGAGTTCCGCCCCAGAGCTGTTCACGTCAGTCATTGGTCAGTAATAATTACAATGATAAAGTGCCTATTTTTGTCATGCCCCAAATCCACAACCGGACGCATACTCAAATCATGTCCGCGTTCAGTCATGTGCCAGTGTGCGAGATAGGCATCATGCCGGTAAGCGCACGTAAAATGTATAATGTTTGTCTCCAGTTACTGTGCGCTCAGTTTATTCTCAACCCTTTGGGGTTTATACATCATCGATTATCTCCAGGGTATACGTTACGATCACTCTCCACTATACCCTGGATGCATCCACGGCTTGGCCCGATGATTTTATTACCTCCCTTGGCTGGCTCCGCATTCTCACAGTAGCCAATCAGCTAAGCCGCTGTTACATCCGAACTTGCCAGTGACAACAAAGATAGCGGCCGCAGTCGTGAAGGTTTGTTCGCAGTGCCACTCAGATTTTTGAGGAAATAATACAGAAAAATTGACAGATCTGAAACTTTCAAAAAATATATAAAAGAACTCCTTCTACCTCTTTCAGAGTATCTCTGCATCAATTGTGTTGCCAAGTTTAAACGGTTAGATAAATTAAGAAGCGAAAGTGAGTTGTGATTGGTTCGCTCAACTTCCCAGCGTAGACACCTGATTGGATAAAAAGCCAGTCAAGGGAGGTAATAAAATCATCGGGCCAAGCCGTGGATGCATCCAGGGTATAGTGGAGAGTGATCGTAACGTATACCCTGGAGATTATCGAGGATGGAGTTTATACAGTCCACGCTGTTTGTTCAGGGGCGGTCACAGGTTTTTTAGAGAAGGGGGATGCACAGTTAATTTTCACCCGTTTTCACAAGTGTTTCAATGGTCATTTAATAAACCTTCAGGACCAAAGTGGGGGTGCACACTGGATCCGCTTATGTTGTTTCGTTTGTTGTTTAAAGCTGCAGTCAACAATATCCCGGCTATATGACGGTGGTCTGTACATAATACAGTCTGGGCCAAATAATCTAGTGATTGGCATATTAGCATCTCTATCCACACAACTGGGATACGATGACATGCATGAACCAAGTATCTGCGGTTGGGGAATCGAACCCGGTCTTTGGCGTGACGGGCAAACTCTTTAACCACTAGGCTACCCCTACGCGATGTCTCGGTTCCATGCTTGTCATCCTACACCGACGATGGGTTCGTTGTTCATAATAAAACGGCTATCATCCGCGAAGATCCCGGTTAGAATTGTCGTTAAATGTGACTAACGGGACCTGTGAAGGTCCGGGTTGGAATATTGATCTTCTGCAACCCATGCTTGTCGTAAGACGCGACTAACGGGATCGGGTGGTCAGGCTCGCTGACTTGGCTGACACATATCATCGTATCCCAATTGCGTAAATCGATGCTCATGATGTTGATCACTGGATTGTCTGGTCCTGGCTGGATTTTTTACAGATCGCCGTCATATAGCTGGAATATTGCTGAGTGCGGCGTAAAAGGTGAGTTGAAATGGGGTTTAACGTCGTACTTGAGAATCTTTCGCTCATAAGACGTCGTGCATACGTGTATGTGTGGCTGCTTGTACTAGTCCAGACAAATCTGGTTTTATACTGCCCTGCCGCAGTGACGCATGAATACCCCACTCAGACACAGTATACTGACTCCGAGCCGACCAGTTCTTGCTGTACCCATTTATGGCGAGCGCCAGGCAGGGACCAACAAGTACCATATTTTAATGCGGCGTTGAAAAAAAAGACCAACTAAAACGTATCCCAATTGCGTAAATCGATGCTTATGATAACTGGATTGTCTGGTCCAGACTTGATTATTTACATAACGCTGCCATATAGCTGGAATATCGCTGAGTGCGAGTTTTAAAAAAAGACCAACTAAAACGGCTAAACTGTTGTTGAGTGCGGGGTTAAAGATTAGAAGTGGTGTTACTCTGTTTATATTTCAGGTGTGTTTTTCGCCAAAAGTGACGTGGGAGTCGGCACCATCGTGGGGTCCGCAGTCTTCAACCTGCTGTTCATTATAGGTGTCTGCGGGTTGCTGGCCGGTATGGTAGGTAGCGCTTCATCATCATCATCATCATCATCATCATCATCATCATCATCATCATCATCATCATCAACAACAACAACAACAACAACAGCTTACACATGACGCCTTGAGCTAACATGTTTGTTTGTATATTTGTTTATTTCCCTCACAGTTTAGAATATTCCCAGTGAAACGACCATAAAATATACATTTGGAAAGCCTGGAAACTGAGATGTACCGCGTCTGAAAGAGAAACCTGTGCCAATACTGGTCTAAATGTATTTGGTTGTCGACGTTTGCTTAACAAGGCATTAATTGATTAACTGATTCTGGGTTTGTTTTTTTGTTGTTTCGTTTTTCATTCACGGCAAAATACACAAGCCACAACCTTTTTGATACATAGTCTGGAGAGTTCAGTCAGTCTGAACCAGTGCCCCCTTTCTTTGTGGAACGGAATATACAGATCAATGAACGCTTCAACAGGGAGTCAAATATGTTCACGGAACATCACCTGAATTTTTATAATGATTTTGTACCATTCAAAGCTAGTCGAAGATAACGCGATTCTTTCATATTATATTTACTCACGGCAGATTAATTATTGTGATATGAAAGCGATGTTGTTGTTTTTTCTTAGAGTATACATGGGTGTTTTTTGTGCGCTGTACATGTATTTAGGTAAGTGCAGGTAATATGGATTTTTTTGGAGTTTTGTTAAATTTGAAACATGAAACATGACATTAAAGTGTCACCTGCCCATGTGAGTGAGTTTGGTTTCAAGCCGCTTTTAGCAATATTCCAGCAATAACATGGAGGGGGACACCAGAAATGGGTTTCACACATTGTACCCATGTGGGGAATCGAACTCGGGTCTTCGGTGTGACGAGCGAAAGCTTTAATCACTAGGCTACCCCACCGCTCCCACAGCAATATGGCAGGGACACCAGAAATGGACTTCACACATTGTACCCCTGTGGGGAATCGAACCCGGGTCTTCGGCGTGACGAGCGAAAGCTTTAACCACTAGGCTACCCCACCGCTCCCACAGCAATACGGCAGGGACACCAGAAATGGGCTTCGTACAGTGTACCCCTGTGGGGAATCGAACCCGGGTCTTCGGCGTGACGAGCGAACGCTTTAACCACTAGGCTACCCCACCGGCACATGTGACTCTAATGTACACAAATTCCAAATATAGACTACTGAGACATTCAAGCGTATCCAAATGCAGTGTTGTTGTGTTTTCTTTGAGAATGTAGACCTTGTGTGCAGCAGCTATTGACTCTCTCCTGTCTGATGCAGGTGATTCACCTCACGTGGTGGCCCGTCATCAGAGACACAGGCTTCTACCTCCTGTCTGTACTCGCCCTCGTCATCGTCATCAACGACACCGAGGTCTACTGGTCAGTCACACACACACTCCTCCTTCATGTTGACCGCGACCGCTACTGGTACTGCTGCTGCTGCTACTACTACTACTACTTCTATTACTACTACCACCATATCCTTATTAATGATATTGCTACTACAAAACAAGCGCTACTACTATTACTACTACTACTGCTACTACTACTACTACTACCACCATATCCTTATTAATGATATTGCTACTACAAAACAAGCGCTACTACTATTACTACTACTACTGCTACTTCTACTGCTACTTCTACTACTACTGCTACTACTACTACTACTACTACTAC